CACTTGGAAGGCTAGGAGGCTCCTTCAAGAGTTCGAGGTCAGTCTGGTCTATATAAAAATACAAGTCCCTTCCCTAGGTTTTACAGGAAACACACTCTGTTATTTTGTTTCCTGAAAATCAAATGATACCACTTATTATAACCCAGGTCTCCTTTTCTAGGTTCTATCTACAGTCTTTCCTGATCTGCCCAGACTGTCAGAGCCCCTGCCCAATAGTCTCAGTTCTTGTGTTGCTCTTTCATAGTGTTTATCTGAAATGTACTTAATAACTGTGCTCCTAGCTGCTCAGGACCTCTTGCCCACCTGCTAGGATGTAAACTCCCTGGAAGTAAAGCCACCTCAGTCATGTTTCCCACATCATTGCCAGAGCCAAGCACAGTACCCGGCACATAAACACTGGGTACATGATACTTCCTTCTTCCATTTGAATAATTATTTATCAAGTGCCTATTATACACCACACACTTTCCTGTACGTGCTTTATTGGCCAAATAGGGAAAGCCCCATTTTTCCAGTGAAGGAAATTAAAGCTCAGGAATGGAAGGTGATCACTGGCAGAGCCAGGGTGCAATCTCAGACCTAGATCCTGCCCATTCATAGGAGGCCATTGAACCTGACCCCTGGACAGGCCTGAACAGTGCTTCCTTCAAGCCCTGTTTCCCCAGAAGCACCTTTGAAATGTATTTATTCTGTTGGCTGTGTGTTCTTCCCTCTCCAGCTCCCTGGCATCTTAACCCTCTCTGCTGCAGTTGAGCATTCCCACACAGGCTCCTCCTTTTGTCCACAAGGGGAAGCCCCTCCTCCATCCCCTTCTCCAGAGGTTTGACTCAAACGAGGCAGCAAGTAACTGCTCTGATCAGCAGTTGCAGGCAGCACCACAGCCATCCTAAACCAGCCAGAAACCTCCTTTCCAGCCTCCTTAGGCTGGGTATGGTGGCGCACACCTAGTCCCAACACTCAGGGGACAGAGGCAGGTGGATCTCTGTGAGTTAGAAGCCAGCTTGGTCTACATAGAGAGCTCTAAGCCAGCCAGAGCTACATAGTGAAACCTTCATCTCAAAAAAAAAATAAAAAAATAAAAAAAAATAAAAAAAAATCCAGCCTCCTTAGGAGCCTTCCGGGGCACCTTCTGGGCAATGCCCCCCAGCCATCTTCTCTAATGGAACTTCTGACCAGCCAACAGGACAAAAAGCTCTTGGTGGGAAAGGAGCCAGTATGAGTAGAAACTCTAAAGGTGATTGCATCAGGGGCCTGGGAGTGGCTCTGCTTCCCGCCTTATCTCTATTGCCCCCTGCTGGGGAAAACTGGATTCAGGGAAATAGGGATGTTTCTGCCCCATCTGCTGCTCTCAAACGTACACATCTGAGATTTGCGATGAATTCTCCGGTCGAAGCAAAACCAGGAGGGACAAGGAAGAGCCTGTGAGTTATAAATCTCCGGCTGTGGGGCCTCGAGGACCATTTTGAAAAGCGGCCTTCCTGCTCTACACTCCAAAGAAGATAATGGACGACCCTCACTCTGGATTAGGCAGAGGACGAGAAGGATCAGAACCCTTGCCCACTTCCTCTGTGCCTCCACCCTGCCTCCTCGAGGGCTTCCCAAAGGTCAGGGAGCTCTTACACAGCAAAAGGGACAGGAGGAGTTCATTACAGCTGTTGGCTCAGCTGTGCGGCCAACCCTGAAGCCTTATCCCATGTTAATGGTGAGGCAAGTGTGAAAAACGGAGCGTAATGGAGACGTCACAAGATTTTCAGCCCTTCAACTGGGAGCCGCCTAGCTCTCCATCCAGCTGGAATTGCCAGGGGCTGATGGAACATGCTTGTCCAGCTCACCGCTCTTCTGAAGAGGCCTACATCTCCCTGGGGTCCTGCCTGTGCATGCATGTGGTGTGGTGTGTGTGTGTGTGTGTGTGTGTGTGTGTGTGTGTGTGTG